GTACAATTATTATTATTATTACTCAAGTGGAAAGTTAGTGTGATGTTTGGCACTGCATTTCATCGGCCAGTTTTTCAAATTTGGGAGTGTAGGATGATGTTGCTGCTAGCAAACGATCGTCAAGATGGGCGTCAGTAAGTCGAGATCTGTGCTTTGATTTTATAATGTTCATGGTTGAACGGCCTTCATTAATCAGTATAACCTCTTTCCGTAACAATGCGGGCACCCAAAAAAAGCCTTGGCGCCCGCGGGCACTGCGTTGGGGACTACTGTGCTACGTGTTTAAAAAAAAGTCATGAGATTAATCTACAGACTCTTGAGTAACACAAAAATTGTATAATAATGACTGAAATTAAAGTATTTAGACACAAGTCATCAAAAAACTGGATAATTAACTTCTATTAACTCACCCATCAATCCAAGGCCCTCTAAGGTGTTCCCGCGTCAGCTTCATAACTGCATAAAACCATTCCCAGAAGGTGAAGTTGCGTTCTGGTAATGGTTCCTTACAAAACTGGGACCAACTGAGCATCATGGTGCTGTAATCTCCAACTTGCTGTTGACCTCCACCCCTACAGTACAGTTCTCATTAAAGATACCAAATGTTTGAAACAGAGCCATCTTCAGAGAGACAGAGTAACAAATGCACAAAATTGCTGTTTTGCTTTACCAATGTTCTCAATGAAAAATATTAATATTTATCAGTAATAATACCTGAATGCCTTTTCAGCCAGGAAGCGAAGGTTCTCTTCTGTAAGTAGCCGACCCGTGGCTGCCTTGAATTTCATATTGAGAGCATCTGCTACTTGCAACCATGCTACCTTGTCAGGAACAGCAAATGGAATACGCCCTGGCTCAGCAAATGCATTGTCCCATGTTACAGTTGCCCATGCATGTGGTTCCTGATTTCCATGCACAATTACTACTACTGGTAGTGATAATGTCCACACCTGCATTAAAGTGCATGAAGAGAAGTTATCAACCAAAATATAAATCACAGACATCATCATTTTTTTAATCCCCACAGGCTCCTTTATTAGCTTGCATTTTCAAAATCTGAAACAGCAATAGCTACATTAACATACAACCCAAAATACTTAAAATCTAAATAGAAATAAATTCAGCATTATATAGGATAAAAACTGAAGATGCCTTCACTGCCAATAAGATAAATTACTTTCAAAAAATACAGTATTTTCCTAAAGTAGCTACGTATAAGCACATTCACAAATGTAGGACCTGACATTGAAATGGTTACAATTCTGGCATTTTTTCACTTTATCGAATTACTGCATTTTTCAAGTCTTTATGCTTTACAGCAGTGGTATTCAACCTGAGGTATGCGATGACATCTTAGGGGGTACGTGAAATTTAAAAATATATATATTATTTAATAATAAACACTGAATAATCAGTAATGTAATTTAATTAATTAATTTTAGATGTAGATTATGTACTATGTACAACTTGAAATATACAACTACTTTGTGGGTACAAAGTTGAAGAGAAATTATATCTGGGGGTACGCGAACAAAAAAGGTTAAATACCACTGCTTTACAGGACTCATTAATGGAACCATAACAGAACACACAAAAATTATTTACATATCAGTAAGTATATCACTACTTTTGGGTACCAAATGTGATTTCTGCTTCCATTTACACGCAGTCCTGGACGTAATTTACTAAAACATGTTACTTCTTGTTTTGATAAATCTCATAATTTATTTCTTATTTCCCTGATTCTCTATCAGAAAAGCACAGAAACATTCTTACCTGGAAGACCAACTCTCCTCCCCCCACAGAAAACTGTGATTGAAATAGAAGAGAAAACTTCTCGTCCATTACAGATTCTGTGCCCTTTTTCTCTGCTCGCTTGATCTTCTTCAGCTGCATATTTCTGTAATAACCCAAAACAGTTTTCCTTTAGACCATGTGAAAGGAAGTAACATCCAGTATTAATTCAAACCCCAAACCGAGGAAACCCTTACACAAAACGAACGTACGAATGTGATAGTGTGGCTGGTATCATATCAACTCAACAATGAAAGAAAGAAAAACCTTCAAGTCAATTAAGCCTTGATACCAATCAGATGCAAAAATTCTCTATAAGACATGTTAATCAGCGTTGTTTGTCAAAAGCATAGAAAACTTTGTCAGGGGAAGGAGGGAAAAAAAGTGGTATACTAAACTTCCCACACCATGACTGGTAATTATGAAAATCGAACCAATAACTCAAGACATATATTTGTCAGCTCATACTTTTAACACATATTCGATTTCTGTGAAATTACTGACATGCAGCATACAAGCCAGTAACATATGTTCACGCACTATACTGGGCACAGTGGAGTTAAGAACAAACATAAATTTACCTACTTGTTGTATTTATTACCTTCACAATGCCATCTTGGAGAAAATAAATCTGTAGTCCACCTGAAGATGATGCTAATTCATTGAAAATCTAGTAGTGTTTATACATAATAGGTTAAGTTCTGGCTGTTTAAAGTAACCTAGTACTCAAACCACAGAAAATGTTAATAACGGTAATTATATGAACTATTACGAATTATACAGAGTCCACTTTTGTAGGAAAGCGGAGTAGAATGGGGTAATTATGAGTCTGATAAAAAAAATCCAGTAAACTTTAGACGATTTCACATGATGCTGCGGAACACTGGGTAAATATGTAAAAATATATATATATATATATATATTTAGTAACATTTCCAGTATAAAATATGAACACATTAAAAATTACCTGAAGCTGACAGAAAGCTGGCGGGTTGCTTGATGATATTCCATGGTACCAGTGTTGTTTAGAATGTCACCACTTGCTTCACCTTTTGCCATTTTGTCATTTTTTAAAAGAGCATTTGCCTGCGCTTCACTTATTATGGTTACCTTAACCTGAAACATAAAAATATTCTACACCATGATTTTTAGGCTCTTGTGAGGCTATTTTCCACTACGCTTAGAGTGGTTAAAATTAGAAAATATAAATTAACCTTAGTCATATGGGATAAGGTAATTTAAACCCCAGTACTAACTACTGCCACAGTGGTCTGGCAGTTAGAACACTGGCCTTGTAATCCTGGGGGTCCCGGGTTCGATTCCCGGCGGTGCCCGAATTTATAACTTGTGCTGGGCAACACCGAGATTTCCTCCGGGGCTTCCCCGGTTTCTCCGTAGCATCCCAACAATTATTCCATACACACAGAAGAAGGCAATGGAAAACCACTTCTGGATCATCTGCCAAGAACGTATATGAACAGGTCCCAGTCCGAGAAAAGGATGGAAGGATCCTGTTCATAATATGTCGCCAACCTCCATAAAGGAGACGGTGTAATAAAGAAGAAGACTACATATTTCCAGCTGGGCTTCAAGTCCAACATTTCACATCTTTACCAAAGATTCCCAATTTCCAGTGAGCACTATTCTATGTTTTCCTCCTATTTGCTGAAGTATAAAGGAACAGCAATTAACACAATTGGGATGATCTAAATACTATTTAACATGCACAATTTTGTGGTCTGAGAAATATACCTGTCATCATTTTCAAAATCTAGAAATTATGAGCAAATTGTTAACCAAATTTTCTATCAGACAAGTCTTCTACGCAATCACCATCTCACCTGAGGTGGAGTCATGTGAACATTAAGTTTGCCACCCACCAACAATCGAACTGTTGACGTAAACCTTGTGTTTGTCTTCATCACCTGTGGAGGCTGCTTCTCGATAATGAACGTACTGCAACCAACATTTAGGAATGAATTCAATATGGCATTCTGGACCAATATCAGAGATGTTCATGCTCTTTAAATTGCTTAAGTACCTAATTAAATTCAATTTCAAACTATGTATACTGATTTTACTTGCATTACACAAACCTTAAAAGACAGTGATATTAATTTTATTTGATTATCGGTACTTGTGGGTTATCGGGACACATCGCTTTAAAAATAGGTTAGGTTAATGTGTGTGGATAAATGACATATACTTGAAAGTTATTATATTTTATTTCAAAAAATGACAAATTATTAGATTTTATTTGGATATGCATGAGATGTTAATTGTTGTTACAACCTGTCGCCGGAGGCCAAAATTCACTTATAGATTTTAGAATCATTTTAAAAATATCGCCCTTATCATTTGTACGCCGCCACATAAACAACCGAGTATACGGGTATACTGATACTCATGCGCAGTTTTCCGTCCAATCCAAGTCCAGATATTCGACTCTCCCGTTTTGGGTCCTGATATCCAACAAGTGCCGATTATTCTTATGCTTACCTTGTAACTAGTGAGGATAACAGCTGCGTGATCTGATTGTTGAGATTTGGTAAAATGTCTGCTACACCAGGTGGTTCGAGTCCAACTTTTTGTTTTAGCCTCTCTGCTTCCTTTATCTGCTGCCTGTTAAGCCAGATTATTTCAGCCAAGGACTCGCACCATTCCTGAATGCTGTCCAAGTTACTGTTGAACTGGGACCCATTGCCTTGCAGTTGTTGTTCACGTTTCCAGCGTATCAACTCATCATCTAGGACGCGTGACTGCAAGGTATTGAGGTGAGTAATTGTGTCTTTCAACTTGTCAGCAAGAGTTAAGCGAAGCTGCACTAGCCCTGCTACCTGTAAACAGTGCACAATACAAATTACAATGGATGCAAGTTTATTTGCATGTAAATACAAAAGTTACAAGGGAAGAGATGCATTATTTATATCGTGACTAAAATAGCATGAACCTATCCACTCTCACAGAATAAATATATGTAGGATTTGAGGTGGCTGGGGGTTCGTCGTGCTGACCACACGTCACCCTATTTCTGGTTGGATGATCGTTCACCTCTGCTTAGGCATATGAACATGAGGCCAGCAGCCAGCTAGTCGGCTTTGGCTCTCTAGAGCTGTTACGCCACGGATTATTATTAGGATTCGAGGTTCTCAAAGCAGTGAGTATGGAGCGCTGTGCAGTCTGTTAGAAGTTTTATGACATTTAAGAGGTGCTTACTGCATTATGTATACATGATTTATATTGCAGGGAGATTCATACATGTATATGAATTGTGTTATTCTCGGTTACAGACACAGTGCAGTCTTGTAAGAGGTTACCAGCATTTTGTAGAAGCATACTGACTGAAGATTTCTGTCTTCTGGGTTGTTGCGCTGTGTAGTCTGGTAGACGTTAACCAACGTTTCAGAGGTCACACTGCCTCCATCTTCATCGCTCTGATGACGGAGGCAGTATGACCTCTGAAACGTTGGCTAACATCAACCAGACTACACAGCGCAACAACCCAGAAGACAGAAATCTTCATACTCACCGCTGTGAAAACCTCAAATCTTACAAGCATACTGACTGTATCCTGATGAACGTAATACATTTCTCTGTACCATCAGGAACTATCTATATGATGAAACAGCACTATAGTAATAGAAGACCACAAATTCACATTCTTACGCCTTCTTCATCTGTACAGATGTAAACTGAAAATATTAAGTTCTACCTTCATGTGCCTACTTTGTTCTGTACTAGTTACATGTTTAGGCTACCTAAATCAAAGCCATAACAATAAGAAACTAAAGAAATGAGCACTGATCTGACGATGAGGCAACTAAAATATCACGTGTTTTGTTAGGCAGTGAATATACTTAAACTAAATAAAGTCATTTCTGAAAGTGTGAAACACAAAATATCCAGAAATATTACAGAGGTATTTGGTGATCTGGATTCTGAGCCTGAGGCAGCTGCGAAGGATTCTGGAACAGCAAATGATTTGTACACAAAAATAAGTGGCCGTGAAATAGCCTGTGGGAGGGTAGGTCAAGGTCGACTGGTAGCATCACGATTTGTGATCACGATGGTTAAATGCTGACACCACCACTGCCACAAACGTCATTCACTGCAGCCCCAGTTCTGTAGCATACATACTGATGAAAGAGTTTGTCCTCTACAGGAAATTTAGCAGCCTAATGAGTTTGTGACATTTTTGGCACCTCTCCCTACATTTTTGTACTGACAGTGCCTTATGTGTAAATGAATCTTTCACTTCAGAATGCCTGGATTTCTGCAGCTGTCTGCATCCAGATTAAACTCAATGTGCAATTTTAACACAAACCTATCACGGTCCACTAGGAAATACTGGAATGATCGAGTTCATGTTACCTATAACAGCTCAGTTAATAGACAATTCCTGACAAAAATTGTACAAAAATTAAAGAAACGTGAACCCCAGCATAATGTATTTTTGTGTCTCCAGTCAACTGTTAACATGATTATTACAAGTTGTGAATAAGAAACATTTAAGTTTTAGGTACAAGCAGTGGCTTACCTTTTGATTAAGCATTTGCTCTAACATATCCTTCTGTCGCCTCACTTTCTTCTCCAGTTCAACATTTTGTTGGTTCTGAGGCTGTGTCTGCAGATGTTGTAAATGGGCTGTACATAAATACAGAAAATGGTTACCTGAATTTATCATTTTAAAATATAAGTTCAACATATCAGAGAAAGAAGTCAATGTTTTCTATGGAAAAAGCATGTGACCTCTGACTTAAGTGTACTGGTGTTTAGGAGGTAAATTCATACAGGAGAAAAATGTTTATGATTTTGGCGCAGAATGGAATGTCATAAAGTTTGTAGTAATATTTTTACAATTAATATTCTCCATGACACAATATTATTCAGGTGGTCAAATCAAGAAAGAAAAATGAGTTGGGCAAGCGTTTAGAATGCATACGAAAATACAAAATTTTTTGTAAGTAAACCAGAACAGTCCTGTGGCAGAATCTTCAGCAAAGTGATGATAAAGACTGCACTAGAGCCTCCTGAAAAATGGCATGG